CCCACCCCCTGCCCGCCCCAAATATTGTGATTTCCTGTGGAATGGAAATCATGGCTTTCAACTAGCTTTACAAGCAATGCATCTGACTCATGGGCTTTGAATCAGATTCCTAAAGTAGTTTACAGAGGGAAGCGTCCATGAAGAGTCTTTGCCAAACATCCTTTCCTACCAGCTTCACAGTAATCAAAATTTCAATACCACCTTGTTAAACTGGGCTAGAAGGTCTTGCTCCTCTGCTCAGACTGCTCACTACAATGGGGATCAGGAAGGAATTTCACCCATGATTAGACCGGCATGCACTGTTCAGGGTTTACACCTTTCTTTGTAGTGGGAAGTATAAATCCTTTCCTTTGGATCCTTGGCTGCGTCTAGAAGAGTGCAGCCGTGCAGTATCTGGCAGCACAGACATCTGCGGTGCCACATACTGCACATTCAGGTGTTCTCCATGCTGCAAGGTAGCAGCGCAGGGGCTTTTTTTGACCCCAGGAGATAAACACTTATCTAGGATGATTAAATATGGATGACCCTGCCTTGACCAGAGGATTGAACTAAATGACCTTCTCCATTACCTACAATGCACACCATTTGATGCTACTGTCATTACATTTTATCATCTAGTGTCAAGACTTCCTCTAGTATCCCACCCTCTTATTTGGCAGCAGAGGCTTCAGGAATTCTCTGCAGTTATTGTTTTTTCTTCTCTTACGGCTTGGACAAAAGCTTTGTTTTGTGGAGCTGTTATCTGAACTAATTTTTGCCTTCACAAGCAGAAATTCAGGGCTACACCTCCAAATTACTTTTAAACAGAATTTGGCACTGAACTGCCACTTTTGTTACTTGTGTCCAAAATTTAGATCTTCAAAACCTGCACACGCAGCTGCCACCTAACACTAAAAGCACAGAGGCTCTGGGTGCCTGAGTGTGTGACAGTACGTTTCCTCGCTGCTTCACACTCTGGGCACTCTCAGAAGCACGTCCCTCTACACCGCTAAGCAGCTTGGCACTATCTATTGCCTATCCCCTGTTAGGATTCACATGCTAAGCAATACCATTTTGCATGGTGATGTCTTCTGCCTATACTGCCTGCACTGCTCAGTCCTACAGACACTCTCACAGTATGCCTAACAGATCTCATGCCGCAAAATAAAAAGAACGGGGGTGCTACTACCACTCTCTTCCATCAAACAGCTGAATAGTTAGTACATTCGCTAAGGGTGTGGGAAACTGTGGTCCAATTCCTTCCACTGCCCGAGGGGATTTGAACCCACAACTACCCAGAAGAGGGCCCTAGTGACCAAATTATACTAAAACCATCTTAATCCCTCCTGTAGAAACAGTTTCCACTTCCATTCACTGAGTAAGAGTGAGAGTGAGCAAGACTATAATGGCTAGTGTGTAGGGCACCCGGGTTCCAGTCCTTGTCATACTGAACTCTTCACTCTTTTAATAGGTATTTATTTGGTTTCCAAACACACTGCTTTCCCACCTCCTACTAGATTGCTGATCTTATGTTTTCCAATTATACGGTTCTAGGCAATTCAGATCCCAACTGTGCAAAGAGATACCTGGATGTGAAGAAAACAGCATGCAACGTGGAACTTTTAGAACCTGATCAAAATAAAAATCATAGCCCTTCAAATTTGTGCTACTGCCTGGATGGCTCCTAAACCTTGTTGATGATGAAGCTGGCTACTGGCTCTTTTTGGCTGTGTGGGCCTACATGCCATTCTGGGGTATTAAAGAACTGCCAAGGTTAGCACAGAGTGGCTTCTCTAGGAATCCACAGCAAAACCTCTAGCCTTCAGACTGCAATGCAAACAGGTGAGGTATATAGGTAACCAGCTTTGTTGATGAGACCAGCCACACACTGCCACTTTGTATGTCCCACAAATAAAAAATAGCAAATAACTATTTTAAAGGGGGTGGGGGGAGAAAGTCATGCAGGCAATCAGTATGGGCTCAGTAGCATCCAAAGTTTTAAAACAAATTCTGAAGGATAATTATTAAAGAATTTTGAAGAGTAATTAAAGGCACGTTAGATACAATGCAACATGGGTTTGCCAAAAGTAGATCATTCCAGGCTAGCCTAATATTTCTCTTTTAGGGCTAGCCTAATATTTCTCTTTATAGGGCTCTTTGGCACCTGATGTGGATTCAAATCCCATCAAGTAGAGAGAGGAAAGACTAGAACCAAATTCTCCAAGATCTTGGAAGAATGCTCTAACCACTGAGTTACTGGATATATGAAAGGCACCAACTCTTCACCCACCTTTTAAAGAAAAAACTAATGGACTATCACTTGATCAAATAGTAAACTCTGGCATACCCAACTCCAGAAGAGTGTTCAGCAAGTCTTGACTTTAGGGAGGTACCTTCTTGCACCCACGGGAGAAGCAAGAATTCAGATACACCCTGTCCTCAATATTTCCTATTTACTGTAGTTGGCTCCCTACTCAGGATGCTGGCTTTTGTGGAGTCCATTCTTTGGCACTTGACTTGAACAGGGAGCCTAAACACCTAATGTGGTTGTTATGTATTCAGAAGAGTGACTGCCTAATAGCTAGATGCTATAACAGTGGACATGACTGTGGAATCAGAAAAAATATCTGCCTTAAACTTTGATTATTTTAGTTATAAGATGACATAACCGCTCTGTGGAGAATTGCTGGCTCTGTATAGTAGAACAGATAAGAGAAAGTGTTTGTTCTTTGTAACTCCTCTGCAACTGCTTCGCTCACCACGGCCTTGAAGATAGCAAAAAAGTATATACAAATCTGATTTCCAGGTGCAAGAAGGAGGTTTGTGAACTAACCTCGCCTCCCCCATTAGTTCCCATCCTGATTACAGCAAAGAAATAATGAAGTAATATTATAGCCGCTTTTCATGCTAATTTCACTATATGATCACGTGAGTTGTAAACAACTGTTAAAAAGTATATAAGCCTCCTGATTTTGCTCTTGGGGGGGGACCCCTTCCAAGTGCTTGGGAAATCCATGTCACTTTGGAATCCCCCCTACAGCTGTAGTTTCTTTTAAATAAAAGCTTCTGCTGACCTGACCCAAAAGTATGCTGCGTGTGTTTCCACAACATTGCAATGCCTAAGTCTCTTTGTGTACCTAAGCCCCAGTCAATACAGCATCTTTGGGAAGAGAATATTATTTGCAAGTTGTCTTTTCTGAAGTTATCATTTAACCGGATTCCAGCCTGCCCACTGAACTTCTGCTCATACTTAGGAAGCAAATGCTTATGATTATTTTTTGATCATGCTATTGCATAAATATTTCTTCCATAAATTATTCATACAGAAGTGGAAACTCTTTGCTACTGAGTCACAGAGAGTCTGCTCATGACATTCAACTACCAGTGTCTCACAGGGCAAAAACTTATGCCAACAGCTCCCCAGGGCCTGCTTCTCATCTTAGAAGCACAAGATTCAAAAATAGAAATTCTGTCAAATATTCATCTTCAGAGAAGCCAATATAATAATCCTGCCTCATCCTTTGATCATACCTATTGACTTACTTCTTTGTTTAGGTTGCTACTAAATCTACATTCATCCAACTATAGTTTTTCCTTTAGTTAAAATAAGAAATAAAGCAAATGCCAAATTAAATTCAGTTTATTTTTTCCCCCTTCAATTTACTGGAAAATTCTTTTTTCCTTTCTCTGCAGGAAGATGACTTCAGAGAGTCCAAGTCAGAAGCCAAAATAAAATAAAGAGGTTTCTGAACCACAAAAATGCACTTTAAATAGATTCATTCCATGAATTCTTAACTCTCAGTGTTACTTTAAGTTTCCAGAAAATGTGTGAACCTAATGGAATATAGTTTATACTTTGGACATTTGATTTGCTTTCTATATTTTACCTGCTTCTGCCTCAGTGATTTTTCTTCAAATGTAGATTAAGTTGATTTAAATTTAAATCTGTCTCTATAAAACAGATTTACCTCACTGATGATACTAAAACTCTAGTAGTTCTGGGTACCATTTTAGGTATCTGAGTTTCTCAGGTCATTTGTGTTTGTCACCGCTGAGCCTCATTAGATGACAGACATGCACTACCTATTGGGGTTCCAAGCCACGACTTTATACTGAAATACCACTCACTCAGACTTATGAAGGAGGCTCTATATAGACTGGTGGGGAGCTACAAACCTTTTGACAGTGAGACCCTTCATCTAATACCAGGAGTGAAAGTGGTTGGTGAGAGCTACAGCTAAGGAATGTATCATTATTTTCCTTGCCATCTCCAGCAGTGGTAAAAAAGACTGCAACATCTGACAGCTGTCTCTCGCTGTCAAGATTTCCTCCTTTGCCTTGCAAGCCTATGGCTGAAAAAACACCTGTCAGAATTTGCTATACAAAATAGGAGATTCTGAGGCAGCTGCTTTGTTAATAATAGGTAGATGGTTCATCTCAAGAAGGTGCAAAGACATGGTCAATAGAGAGAACAGCATAGGAGGGCTTTGCAAAACTGGGATTATTTGTTCTGTTTGTTAGTTGCCCAGGGGTGGGCAAAATGCGGCCTGTGGGCCGTATGCAGCCTGTCAGGCCATTCTATCCAGTCCATGGGGCCCCTAAAAATTTTTGAAAATTAGTATTTATCTGCCCCTGGTTGCCTGTCATGCAGCCCTTGATGGCTTTCCAAAACTCAGTAAGTGGCCCTCTGCCCGAAATTGCCTCCCCCTGTTATAGTACCACTCATGATGTGCCAAATTAGAGCAGCCATTAAATCTAAGGACAGATAGAAAAATAGATGAAGGTTAGGAAAAAGGAAAGAAGAGGTCCTTAAACATGAACAGGTTTAATAGCAAGATTTCAGGGAGGTCATATTATCTGTTGAAGGCTGCACGGAAGAACGCACAAAGGTTATAAAAATAGGAATTCAGTTTCTACCCTCCAAGCAGATGGGTAGCACCCAGATCCCCTGCATAGCAGCAATGCCTCACACTACTTGACCATGGAAGGAGGCTGTTCCAGAAGAGGTCAAAGCCACTTACATGATGGCTGCATGACCACCTTCTGTGGTCTGGTCTGCTTCTTCTCGTTTTTCCCTGCAGCATGGTTCATATTTCCTCAATAGTTCTCCTGGCTGTCACGAAGTGGCCAAAAAAAATAAAAATTGAAAACTAACAGAAAATTTTAAACATGAAAAATTCTGTTTTGGCAAAGATTCAGGCTTATGAGTGAAGGCATGGCTTACCCTTTCGTTGCACATAATTTGTCCAGTTCGGAGCTGCCTGATGTGGCTTTGTAGAACCACAGAACATGTTTGGACGCATCTGTAAAAAAAAAAAACCAAAACAACAAAAAAAAAACACAACAGAGCATTGCTCCTTTTACCTTGCCTGTAAATCTTGGTACATTACACTGCATAAACTCCCAATGCATGCAGTCAGCTATGCTGTGCTACTGCTATCCACAGAGCAGCAGAAATGAGGCAAGAGCATCGGCAGCAAGATGTGAAAACAAACCTACCATAAGCTGACATGATTTTATTACATGGGCTGCGTTTTAAGAGATGAAAAACTCAGCTCCAATTGATGCCAATGGGATCTGAAGTTGCCCAAGTCTTGTGTAAATTAGACCCCCTTCTGTCTGAGTATCCTCTTTGCTTACAGCAGCAAGTAGAGACTATACTTGCTAAAATGCATTCTGTATCATCAAGCTAAAAGCCGTGTTTCGAGGCACTTCTGATTAACTCTTCAACACTGTCGACCACTGGACAATGTATTTCCTACCCCAGTATTGCCTACCCCCAGAGAAATTGGTATCCTTAAAACCAATGAAAGCTAGATAAAGACAATTTTGAAAGGGTCCAAATGTTTCCAGTCTGAAACAACTACAAGCATGTAGCCCTATACTGCTTGATCCACTCTGGTTTGCTGTGGTTCCAGCAGAGAAGGTCACAGTTCCAGCTCATGTGTCCAAAGTACAAGCGTCTCCACATGCATGTAATCTGGGCTAACTACTTGTATATTTGATCCTGCAGTAACCTTGATAGTATGTCATAGTGATTAGTGTCAAAATACTGTATATCAGGCATTGGCAGCATCTTACCAGCGGTGGGCTGGAAAACCCAAGCTCAGGTCTGAGGTGGGCCAGCACTATGACCCATAGTGGGTCACTTCCTCTCTGATGATGACGACACAAGAAATATTTAATGATTGACCCACAGCAGCCCTTCTTGGGAGGACTGTAAGGGGCAAAACCAATCCTCAGAACCTGCCTTTGCAATCCAAAACCAGATGAACTGCCAGCTTTCCGTTCCTTTGATCAGCATTCAGGATTTATAGTTTCTAGCCACTGTGAGAAAGACTGGTAGCCACTGTGACAAAGACTGGTAGTCTTGGCATCTACTTACCAAGACTTAACACCTTATTGGACACCACCAAAGTTCCACAGCTTTTTACTTAGCCAGATCCAGTGGCTCTACAGACTGAATCTAGCCCACAGGCTGCCCGCCCCTGTTATGTATTGTAATGATGGTTTAGATGTGGTGAATGAAGAGGAGTGATTTTGTTGCTCCAACTGCTCTGGGAAAATAATTTCTTTTGGATTTGGTGGCTCCAACTGCTCTGGGAAAATAATTTCTTTTAAACTTGAGTTATAATTAATGATGTCCATCTCTTAGAAGAAGCCAGGATAGATTTGCACCTTGTAAACTAACTACATCAGAGATTCATCCCTATGCTATGCTATGCATCTCTAATTTAGTAAGTCTACAAGGTGCAAATCTACCTTGCCTTCTGCCTGACTTCAGACTAACATGGCTAATTACCTCTCTCATCTCTTAAAGCACAGTTTAGCTGTAAACTCTTTAAAGCTCAGTGTCATTATCCCCATTCACAGATAAGGGGACTGAGTCACAAAGAGGTGATGAGACTTGCCCAAGGTCATCCAGCAGGCCAGGGGCAGAGCTAAGCATAGAACTCAGGTCTCCTGGGCCCAGTCCAATGGTCTATTCAGTAAGCAATACTGGTTCCCCTATAACAAATAAAAGCACTGCCAAGCACTTGGACAACAGATTAATCAAGTGTTTCAGAATGAGACCAAAACAGAACAGTAAGACTTAGCATTTGGTGAACATTGTAAACAAATACACCACTGCCTGCACTATGCCCTCCTTATGTGCAGAAATTAGAAGCATTTTCCTAGCAGACACTTCCTCACCTTCTCTCTATACATGGATACATAGGAAACTCTGTTGCTCTGATGCATTAGAACAGGATGCAGTAATTGGAGAAGGAAAGTGGAAGGTAAAGAGAAAAGGACAGGGTAGAGGTAGGGAGCCAGTGAAGGCGGTTGAAACTTGGCATCTAAAAAGGGGAAAAAGGGAAATGGCAGGGATCTGCAAGCGGGAATGCAGATTGCGTTAAATGGCTGCTATATGATGGCTTTCTTTTGAAGGGAGATTAATGTAAAAAAACACTAGGTCATTCATGAAAACAAAAGGTCCACTTCTACCTGAGACATGGCTCTCTTTCTGTAGGGACTCAATTCAGCACTAACTGAAATATGAGATACTGAAATATAAACTATGAAATTCAAGGAAATGGAGTGCCCTCTCATTTTTCTGGTCTTTCAGTATTATAGAACATATAAGTAGTGAGGCTAGAAGAGCTAACTCTCAATGCTATTTTATGCAGTTAGTTTGTTGTGAATTATTTCATACTGACTACAAGAGATTATGTCACGTTTTGGGGTCTCTCCAGTGGAAAGTATATTGTTTCCTTTACTTAATCTGTTGCTTGATGGTGTGAGACTGCTTTGATTTGCATGCAAAATGAGGGTAAGATGGTTGATCAGATACCTAAAAGCTATCCAAAAAAATACAGTCCAGCATTTACAGTTCAATCTTTGATCGATCAATCATTGAAGATGATGCCAAAACTTCCATTAACTAAATTAACTAATGAGGTTCACCTCAAAACTTCCAACTTAATTTCTAAATGGCTAATCAGATTCCAAACAATAAAAACTGCAGCACAAGTACAAGCCAGCTAGAAAGGGGAAAAAAAGGCACAACAGTATTTAAAAAGTTGTTAAACATGCAATACCCATTTTTAATGCATGTCGCCCACTGGGAACTATTCAGAGCAAGGCCCTCCAACGTTTTGACCTCTAATATGTCCTATTCACAAGTCAATGGCCATAGCTCAGCTAGTACTCCTAATAACTACAATAACAGAACCAGTTACTTCAACCAATAAGCATTAAGAAAACTTGGCATCAAAAGCCCTTATTGCTTTGTTAATGTGTATATATATATCTGTAGATGCTGCAATAAAGGCAAGGGTACAACATCCCATTCCCTTCAGTTGTTATTCCTCCACATTAAGCACACCAAGTTTCTTAACTCTTTCTTCACACTTCTTTTTTTCTGCATATTGAATATTTCTCTCTCACATCCTTGCATCTGTCCTAAATTCTCTCTCTGGTTTGCCTGTTTTGACAGAGAGTGTCCCACAAATTAACACACTACAATAACTGAAGCCAAATCTGTATTGAGTAGATGGATATAATTACGCCTTTTGCTTTATGCATTTTTCTCCTACTACAATTTATATTATAAATCTTCAGTTATTTGGCTAGGATAAAATGCCGATACATTCTACTGTCAACCCAAATGCATAGATTTAAATGATTAGTTACAAATTAACCTCAAAGTCCATACTTACTTCTCAATGCTGAATATATTTTGAATTTTCTAAGTAACCTCAGGATTCAGACAGTTTGCCTGGAAGAAGAACAAGAAATGGAAGCCTTACAGTAAGAACAATGTTCAAGCCAAAATCTTGGAACATTATACAGCTGATTATCATTTTAAAATATTTTACTGTATTTTAGATAAGACAAAAAAGTACAGAAGGGAAAGTTAGAGTACAGTGTCTACCAGATTTTCCTTTTCCTTAGAAAATTTGTAGGGTGGGTTTCGTATGGGGGCCATTTGCATGAGAATCTTCTACAGATAGTAGTGCCTTCTTCCCCATATCTAGCCCTATAATGAATGTTGAGATTTTCCTCCATGCATCAAAGGCCCAAGGCCAACATCCAACTTAAGAGACTGGAAGGAAGTCAGAACCAGATGCATGGACACTGTCTATCCAGACAATAGTAGACCCTTGGAAGTCCAGCTCCCATCCCACACTTAGCTACCAGGCAACATGGGCCCATAACAGATTTTCTGGCCATGGATGCTTCCCAGCTCATCCCAGGCAGAAATTAACAGAAAATCATACTACCAGTTGGTCCTGTATTTATTATTTTTTTTCTGAGAAATATCCACATGACCAGACAGGGGACAAAGTATACATTCTCCTAGGACATCCAGTGCCATCTCATCCCCCAGTGCAGACGGAGGACCATTCTAAGCGGCCTTGGGGTGGCTGCTTCTGCTGTGTTAATGCAGCACAAGCTGGGCTCCAGCAGTTACACAAGAGACGAGAAATGATCAGACCAAATATGAGCAGAAAGAGGTAGTTAGCCTTGTTAGTTTTAAGTCAGGCAGAAAGCAGCGTAGACTTGTAGTTTACAAACTAACTACATGAGAGATGCATAGCGTAAGCTTTTCTGAACTCAAGCACATTTCATCAGATGCAACATTAGGTGAAGTAACTGGAGAAAGGGAGGTGGAAGGTAATGAGAAAGGAATAGGGTGGGAGGAGGGAAGGTGGTTGAAACTTGGCCCTTAAAAAGGGAAGAGAGCCAGGAAAAAGGATGCATCTGAAGTGAGCTCAGGCTCGTGCAAGCTTATGCTATACATCCCTAATTTAGTTAGTCTATAAGGGTACTTATACATGAGCGAATGCACTGTCAGCATACGCTGTAAGCATGGTAATTACCACACTCCAGCAGACCCGTGTATCAGTGTCCCCACATTTTAAAATGGCAGCAGGGGGCACCTTAATTAAAGCTTTAGTTAAAGCACCCCTGCCACCATTTTTAAGTAGGGGGATGCTAATACAGAAGATGCTCCAGGCACTTTAATTAGAGCAGCTCTCAGATCAGTTCTAATTACAGTGACTCCCTGCCCCACACTCCTAGAGCACATGAATAAACCCTGTAAAATACAAATATACCTAGACCTGTACCAAATATGTCATTCAATATACATTCTAATTAAGAAACTAATCGTATCTACTTTTTGAATACATATATTCATTTTAAATCTGTAGGAGAACAAAATGCACAAACACACATATATGAATCATACAGAGAAAGCTATGGAAGCAATGCTGCCCCATAACAATGGAACTGTACAATTCCTATACTGAGATTATTAAAGCTGTACTATACAAAGACCCATGAATACAGCTAGAGCCCTTTGTTAGGCCATTATCAATAACAGACTGGAACTTTCTGTACTATTTTGAGATGTGACCTTTTTAAATTGCATTGTAGTATAGCGAAAGCTCAAAACCTCCTGAGCTGTAATCTCAGCTCTACCACTGTCTTGCTGTGGGGTACTTGGGAAGTCATTTTAACCTCTCAGTGGCTGTTTCTTCATCTGTAGAACGGAGGTGATACCTACTTCACGGTGGCATGCAAAGATTATGGAGTTAAATATCTGAATCAACACTTTGAAAATGCAGAATGTTAAGACCAGTGTGAAATACTGTTACTGTTTGAGGATTTTGAGCCTCCAGTACTCAGTGATGGCTAGAAGTCCAATAGAGCCACGGGATTCCCTCATCTTTGTCAGGTCAAAACTGATTACTGTTGTACTTAGGACACTGATACTGACCTAGCCAGTCAGTGACTATACCAATAGTTTTTTCAAGGGAGAGAGAGACAAAACACAAGGTTTGGGTTTTTTTGCCAGCTACATATAGGCATCTCCCACTGAAATAAGAAAAGACTAGATTTGTGATAATGATACCATGGGCCTGTATAATAAAGGACCCTTGTGAAACAGCAAAGTTGACTGTGTGTGAAGGTTACTGTGATGAGTGAAGCAAATACTAGATACCCAGTGGACTAATGTCTTCCAAGAGACGAGACATATCATGGCTAGAAGAAAACACAAAGAATGGCAAAAACTTAAACTCTTATCAGTTTTCTGTACAAACTAAAATGCATATAAGGGAACATTTAGTTAACAATAAATAAGGCAATTCTTAAACATTTGACCAATAAAATTACCATTAGTGGGATTACTTATGTTTGTGAGTACTTTGCTGACTTGGGACCTAACGTGGAAAGAATCTGAAATACATCTCTAAATGACAGAAACCTGTTTGAACAGACTAATATACTATGGGGATATTTCACAACCCTGATCAATGAAAATCTAGCAATTTGTTCATCTGAGAAAATGCAAGTGCTCTCATTTCTCTTTAGTTTCATTGCAGAAGCAAAGCCTAGGTAATTCAGAAACTCCAACACTGTTTCTGAAGGCTTATTATCTAATAATTTCCTTTCCCAAAAAACTTCAAAAAAATCAACATTATAACTTGTAAACTGTCTTGCTGAAAGGACCCGTGTCTCAATTTAGTGTTAATTAAACCCATTTAACACAAGCATATTGTGTTGGGATGTTTCCAGTCCCCATATCTAAGATTCCTAAACCAAAAATCCTAACTTTGGACTAAATTGTGTTCTACAGTGAGAAAGATATATCCTGAAAGTTATGGCTCCACACCTGTAATTAACATGAGAAAGCTCCAAATTAATACTATTCTCCTGTCATGGTGATCGCCAAATGTTATGCTGCTATTAACGAAAGGCTGTGGGTGTTATTTAAAAGTAATGTCACTTACACATGTATAGACAGGCATACTAAAACATGCCATGGCTTAAGTTTAGTAGGAGGAATAAATTACAGCAATTACTGCAGTCTACATTCAAATTTAAAATTAAAGTACATCTTACAACAGATGGTCTCTATTGACCTTAATAAGTTGAACCTAAAGCCAGTATTTGCTCATTTTCAGGGGTAAATTAAGACAGAACCCATTCATTTGGGCAAGAAAGGCCAAGAATGGACCCATGAAGTTTAGAGCCATAGATTTCTGGGGACATTACCCAGAGATTGATGGAGCTAATGTTACCTGGCAAAACAGGACTTTCCACAGCTAAAGGGGAAGGCTCTAGCATGCATGCTTGTACTGGGCAGAGCCTCAGTTAGCAGACTTGGGCCCCATAAAAATGTTCAGTTCTAGCCCCCACTAGAACTCCCACCACTAGAAATGATTCCAGGAGAGAGAGCATAGTACAGACATTCAGGCAGCAACCACCTCTCTCCTCCACTCCTTGACCCTTCCTGAAACTCAGGTGATCCCTAGTCTGAAGAAAGCATGGGCTGCTCCAGTCCTCTCACTGGCAAGGAGATCGGAGCAGCTAAGCGCATCCCCCTGCTTGCCTCTCACTCCAGACCTCCTGGTAGAAACTGAACACAGCCTTCTTCCTAGGTCCAATTTAAGTTTCAATCCATCACTGCTTGTACCCATTAATCAATGGGGCATTCTGGAACTGCTTCCCTTCCTCCTGGCAATTCCTTGATGAAACGGTTCATCTTCCTCTGGCTTGGTGAGAGCTGGCAACTGCCATGTAGGCTATTTTACCAGACCTCTAGAAGGTATCATCAGAGTGGCAGATACACACTGAACAGTGTCTGACTGCGCAGAACAGCTGTCATCTCAAATGCTGGTTAGCTGCAGCTGCTAGGCTGAACACTGCTCTACAGCACCATCTAGGAGCTAACTGTAAATACTGAAGCCCAGCCCAGAATACTGCTATGATGTCCCCTTGTATTCATCTTCTGTCTGGACAAAACTTTTCAAGCAGCTTTTTCCCTCTTCCCTAAAAAGGTAAGTTTCTCTATGCTTCTAAATCCCACTCTGCCTGTAACAGGAATCTAGAAACACTGCCAAACTGGCTGGGGAATAGTCTTCAGAGCAACAAGAGGCGTTAGATTTACCTTTGGCACATGCAGGACTTTATCAGAGTTTATCCACGGCAGACAGACAGACAATGAAGCTGAGTTATCACAAACACTGTGGAAAACATAGAAAGTATTGAAGGCTTTTAGACTGGAATTGAAAAAAGATCATTTTACTTATGTAAAGCATTTATAAAAAAGTTGGATTTTACCTTCTGATTGCTTAGTTATATTTATGGTAAGTTACACAGTTATTTATAATAAAATTTCTTTCCTATTTAGGATCTTACACCATGCCATCAACACAAGCACATACTGCCTCATTCTGTGTCCTCTCTCCGACAGCACACAATACAAACTGAAAAGGAAGAAACCTTTGGGAAGTGAGTACTGAAAAAGTCCGGCCCTTCCTTTACCGTCACATAGACACTTCCTTCTAAACTACTTGGGCATTAAGGGGTAAATATTAAAAATAATACATGGGAGATGCCCATACTAGATTCATTAATTTATGCACGTCTCCAGAGCAGGTTTTCAAAATAAAAGCGCAGGCTGTGGCCCAAGCAAAACTATTGCCATTATTTTAGCTTCCCTGGGAAATCCCTTTTAATTTTGTATGAAATCTCCTACTCAAAAAGGAACACTGTAGTAAGACTACAGACTCTGAGAGACCCTATTCAGAAAAGCATCTGCTCAGATGCATAAAATTAGGTATGTGTCTAACATGCTTTTCTGGAATTCAGGATGTAGATAGCTACTGCGTAGGCTCTCCAAAATAGCTGTTTCAATGCAGCACAATATTGCTATATTATAGCTGAGCCTCTTCTGCACAGAGGTAACCCATCATGGCAAAGTGCAATTTTTGTTACATATAATACTGGTAAAGGCACACAAGGGACCAGTTGTGGGTTGGGGAGTGTACGACAGTTTGAAGTCAGTCTCTCATACCAGCCCTGCCCTATTCACATGCATTAGGTCTCTAGAGACAGAATTAATGCCCTTTGCTCAACATGTAGCATACATAGAAGGGTTGAGAAATTTTAGTATAGATATAAAATATTTATAATCTCCTATCTGCTGGTGCCAACTGGCAAAGATTATCAGGAATCTCAGGGCAAAGGTAGAAACAACTGGATGTTGGAGTGTTGGAATAAAGATACATATTTTTCACATGTAAGAATAATGATCTGGGCTGATTAACAGCTAAAAGAAAAACATGAGTGTCAAATTTTCAAAGGCACTTAAATGACTTTTGAAAATAGGATGTTGGGCTAGCTGGAAGTATTCTTCGTTTCTAAGATGACACCTAGCCATTTCCAGTGGCTTTCAAGTTAGATTCCAGTTCAGTATCTGATATTTTACATCTTAACAGAGGTGTAGAATGGGAGACAAACAGCTACGTACTGTAAACTTCTCTAGATAAGAATAACCCTAACTCCAATAGATGAGGTCTGTTTATCCTGGTAACATCATCCTAAATAGGAAAGCATAGGGGAGTCTAAAACATACTGCCTTGAACACCACTTTCTTTCTGTAGACAGCAGAATAAGTTGCTGCAGAATTGGTTTCTTTTTTAGCTTCCTGCACATGAAAGTTCAGACTTAGAAATTATTGACCTTAGATCTATGAGGCCATCTTGCCATACTATCCCATTGGAGGGAGAAGGGAAATATCATCACAAAGCTGTACTGCAAAAATGGAAGTGCTTCCAATGCTTATTCTATAGTAGTTGACATGGAAAACTAATCTGATTTTCATCACAAGTGAACCACAATCAGTTACTCAAACTTAAGATCTGTGAGGAACTCGGCCTCTTTTTTCTCCCATGAAGCGGTTTTATTTTGAATCAACATCTAGTTACAAAAGGACAAAAGAAATATGTTGAACCCTTCCCTCTTGCTAAGCAAGCCTATCAATGACTAAATATACTTGGAGACTGGAATAATCTTTCATCATTTCACCCTTTGATGTGGCCTATCCAGTGTAGAACAGAAGCACTTTTAGAAACACCAGGGATTACCTCAATTTCAAAGGGCTGCCAATCAAATATCTATCAGCAGTGCTATATTCATGAACAACACGTGCCCCTGGAGGCTGGGGGGCATGGCGACTGCCCGCAGGTGGCAGTGTCAGTGGCAAGCTCCCGCAGGCGGCCATGGCGGTGTTGGCGGCAAGGAGGGGATGGCAAGTGGTGACCACCTGCATGCGCCGCCAGCAGTGTGGGCAGCGCTTCTTTCAAGGAGGTGCACTGCCAATCTCAGGAGTTGCATGTGCACCCCCTACGTGTCACCAATAACTATACTCCCATTTTTTAAAAAAACAAACCAAAACAAAAAAGGTAGAGATTTTTATTTTCTACTCTACAACATTTCCCTTTTGCTTCCTAGCATGCAAATGTCAAGTCTCTTTTGGTCTCTTCGTCTCCATGTATTCTTAATCAAGATCATGTCATGGTGGTAATAAAAAAATATGACAGTGTTTGTTTCCACTCTAAAATGGCATTTCCGGTTGCTTATAACTTTAACTTTTGTTCTAAAACTATAAGCAATTTTTTTCAACAGAAAACAATTCCAAGTTTTAGGAAATAGGAACGTGATTATAAATAAAAACCTGCAATATTTTTGGAATATCTGTTGAACAACAGGTTAAGAGAGACCTGCGAGCGCTTCTGTGAAAATTGGGTGCGAATGCCCAGACCTATAGAACTTGGGTCTACATTCATTTATTTATTAATAAATAATAAAAGTTGTATCAGCATGTACCTCAGCATTAGCAGAGTCGACCTGCTGTCCTACGATATGCATTTCCTATGACATACACACAGGGGAGGAAGCAGGACTATTACCTGGACAAGGTGTCTGTATTTTATAATAAGGGCACCTTACTGCCGATTAGCTTCTTGACGTATTATGTTTAATGATACTTTAAAAAAAGAAAAAACAACTTAGGAATTACTCATTATATCTTGTTTCAGGTTAACAGCTAGGTGCTCCAATTGCAATAAAGGCACCATTACACTAAAGTGTACATGAAAAGAGCACACAGTTTGTATGCATATATAAAATGGCAAATGTGGAAGAAGAAAAGATAAATATAGTCTGCTGAAACACTATTTAAGAAATGGAATGAGACAACACTGCATCAGGTAACAAATACCCAACTTCCATTTTGCCTATTCCTGACTGGAGAGTTTGCTTTGCAATTTTTTCTATACGTCTAATTTATTTATTATCCAGTTGTATGATCATGTGCATGTAGTCCATACCTCCAAGGAAGAACTAACATAGAAGCTTTAAGTAGTTTCTTATGCCAAAAAGTGGGAAAGTACACAGAGGCGATACGCAGCTTCTCAGTATTTTCCTGTTATCTAAGAAAGAAAAACCAGAATGCTTGGAGCAAGGGGAAAATTGTGAAGAAAGCAATTGTGTTTACTTCAATACGGAGCAAGCTGATTTCCAAAAGATCTGCCATGTTACTTGTAGTAATCCAACTTCAGGAAGGAAACTGCATAAGATAAAAATACTTTTCCATACACTACCTTGAGCAAAGAAAAAAAAGAGAAAAAAAACCTACTGTATATATACACAGCTACAGGAATAAGGAAATAATATAGAGGGGGGAAAAAGTTAAAGGTTGACTAAGCTTATAACAGGAAGTCATGAATTTACAAAAGGCAAGTGCAGATTAGATACAAGGGGGAAAAGCTTCCTACCAGCAATTGCTCCTTAGAGCAATTTTGACAATAGAACAGTCAGTCACGAGTAGGTCACTGAGCCCTATCATTAAAAACGGAGAGATTAGATATGAAGGGAATAACCCACAGCAAGTGACTGAACTTGCTCAAGGCATTTCTGCTCTACTGTCTAAGCATCATGGTGGTGAATAAGCAGGCAGATGAGAGTCAAGACTCCTAAATTCTAATCCAGCCACTCTCATGACTTGCAAACTCTGAGTAAATCACTTACCTCATTGTATACATTTCCCCATCTGTGAAAGGACTCAATGTGTACTTCAAAGAGGGTTGGAAAAAGGATTAACATATTTGCAGCACTTCTACTTAACATGCAACAAGCCTTATTTGCTCTTACTCATTCTTAAAGCAACACAGATCACATTTCTACACTGGGACTGGTATCATGACTTGAGATGTTAAAATGAGTCTTTACCCAAAAAACTATGGAACACAGATTCATGGATTGTAGAGTTGGAAGGGACCCTGAAGGATCATCGTGTCTGACCCCCTGCCCCAGGCAGGAAAGAGCGCTGAGGTCATACAACCCCAGCGAGGTATCTATCTAGCCCCCTCTTGAAGACCTGCAAGTTAGGTCAGAGTACCACCTCCCTTGGCAGCCCGTTCCAGATTCTGGCCACCCTTACTGTGAAAATTTCTTCCTAATGTCCAACCTGAATCTACTCTCCACTAGTTTGTACCCATTATTCCTAGTTACTCCTAGGGGTGCCCTGGTAAATAGTGCATCTCCAATTCTCTGTTGTCCTCCCTTGATAAACTTATAGGCGGCTACAAGGTCACCACTCAGCCGTCTCTTGTGAAGACTGAAGAGATCCAGATCCTTCAACTTCCCCTCGTAGGGTCTTGCACGGAGGCCACTAATCATATGAGTGGCCCTCCTCTGAATCCTTTCCAGATTCTCGGCATCCCTCTTGAAGTGCAGCGCCCAAAACTGGACACAGTACTCCAACTGCGGCCTGACCAATGCCGCATAGCATGATCCTTTTCAACAGATCTGCTTCCTAGCTTTACTCAGGCAGCCCTACGTTGGTGACAAAATATTCTGTTTATTTTATCCCAGTTAATCCTTACAAATCTAGAAGCAATGGCCAACAGATTCCCAAGATAGAATGGCATCCCTGTTGGAGTAATTACAATTTAAAAGCAGTTCAATCAGCTATAGGTTGACAACCTCTCAGAAAACAGTGAATTGCAACAGCTGTAAGATGCAAACAGGGTAAACATATGTAATAAAGAGATCTTATCTGGCCTGCAGTATCCCTTTGATAGGGATACTGTAGAAAAGGAAAAGATGGTTTGACTTTCAGATCCCAAATCTCAGCCCTGGCAGTTACAAAAGATATGTTTTTACTTCTAAATTGAGCACACATTTGATCCAGAAAATCACTGACACACAAAAGAAAGTATCCCACTCCATGCCATTTGTGCCAGACTCTCCTCTCCTCTCAGAGCAGAAATGAATATGGCACATAAAGATGACAGATAGGAAGGCAAAGTTCTGGAATAAGAGAAAAAGAAAAAACATAGCAAAATGAAGAGTTGACTTTGTTTACTCTATTTTTAGACTTTTTTCATGTTATTAGCTATTAGTAGAAGAATGGGACTTAAAAATAGAGCATGACAAAATATGAAGACCACCAAGAGTTAACCCTCTGCAAGCTGGAGTGCATGAAAATGTAGTGGCTCTGGCCCTTGTCCTGAAGAACAGAAATAAATCATTTCTTGGCAGAGCAGCATTAACTGAAATGGCACTGGAAGTTGCAGATCCCTTTAGTGGGACTGACTGTTCAAGTAGAATACTTTCATTTTTCTAGGAGATACTGAAAGGAAACTGGCAGCCTCTGGGCACCAGAACAGACTAGCTTTCTTTAAAACAATTTCATCACAATGAATAAATGGCTTTGCTAATTATTGAAAACTTACTAATTACTACTGTTCTCATTTACTATAGCCCAGGTTTTCACCTGAAATATTAATCTACCCACTAGCAGTGTTCATCATCCACCCTGAAATGACTGTAGTACTGCATCTATACACCAGTTACACTAGTGTGACAAACCCAAAGGCCTGCAGTTCACATTCAAACTTCTTCAAATCTGAGGTGGTTTAAGCAGCAGCCTTTTGTTTGAAGAATTTTCTCACTAGTATACCAAGAGTTAAGTTGCAAACCAGGGGGTTATAACATGCATCATAGAACAGAGACGGGGTTGATGGAATCATTATTCTGCCTTCTTCCTCAACTCCTTCCACCACTGCTTACTATGAGGAAACTGTAAATTTTGTCTCAAATTTAAGCTTCATTTTACACTGGTGCCGCCCACCCACTTCAGGGGTTGAAGCAACACGGCTGAAAGTACACTCTTACCAAACCAGGGTGGTCCAGCCATTTGCTGCAAAAAAGACCTGAATAATTATTTCCATGGAGCTTAACCTGTGAGAAAATAGTCTTTTGCACGTTTGCAATATAGGACCCTTGCTTATTAGTTTGTGGTTATGCTAAAAAGACTATTTTAAATATTAAGTAAATTAGAACATAAAGCAGAGACCATCATTTTTATGGAAGAAAACTGAAAACACTGATGTTAAGAACAAAGAGTTCATTGACTAACTTATGCTACTTTGACGCATCAAATTATAAAAAAACGAATATTTTCAAAACTTAAGGCAACTTTTTTTCTAATATGTATGAAGATACCATTTAGCGAGAAAAAAAAAAACCTAAATCTCAAGAACTTAAAAAAACAGATGAACACAATATAAAAAAAATGACCATAACAATAGGAGGAAGAAAAAAAATCTCACTTTGGAGCCTTTCCCCCAAAGTGTTATATAACCAAATACGAGCCAAATTTTCAAGAGTCAGCTTGGCAAAACTCAACTTTCGTAAAGAACAATGTATGCTAATTTAAATTAAATTTAAAGAAATCAAAGTGTATATTAATCATTCCCATACTGTGTGTCAGGAAAGCTATGATTACAATTATAGTAGTTTCTAACATAATATTAAATAAATGCAATTTACCTAAGAATGAAAAAAAGCTTCAGAGGAACTCCAGTTCATATTTTATTGTTTTTCTATAGTCTCCAAACTTGGTATTTTTCCTTTGCTTTCAGTATTAAAGTTTTTGCCAAGGAACATTTATTTTCCAAGGCACATTATAAAAGAATGGGTGCAATCTATTATCACAGTATACCATACCAAAATTGGTAATGGGGGAGGTGGGGAGGTACAATGGGGACCAGGTACCCAAGTGTTGAAGAAATATTAAATAAGTAAAAGGGTCACGGGGCATTTTGCTTAGAAATAAAAGCTTTTCTCATCAAGCCTTTATGTACTATACATACACACATGTATGTAAGTTACACATGTATATTACATATCTATACACACATATATGTACAATTATGTATACATGTGTCGTGTATATACGCACATACATTATATATAATACTTGACGTATGCTATAATAAAGCATTTCTATCACTAATCAACTCTGGCTGATTCCACTTGACACCATCATTAGAATTTTGTCTTTGTTTTTAAAATTTCGATTTGGAAACCAGTTAAAGCAAAGCTCCTCCTTGTACTGAATGAATACACTTCCCATACCATGTTGATTCAAAGCCACAGTCTATTCATAAATGTATAGAATTTATGGAAAGTAAGGTTCTGGTCAGGTGCTTTTGTAGCATGAACCACCCCTGCTGTCATTCAAGGTAAGGCGACTGGCAGGGGTCCACACTAACAGCTACTGCTTTGCCACAGGTGAAAGCAGTAGGTGCCAGTGGACTCCTAAGTGGCCTCTAAATGTACAAATATATAGGTCTACACAGTTACAGACATTATAAACAATTACTTTTGTCATACAGCAACATTTGACATGTTTAGTGCTATACCATTAACTTAAAAAAAACAAACAACTAAGGCTTTTGCTAAATTGCATATAAAAGCACACTGTTCAGTTCACACTACACAATTTAGCAGCAGTATAAAATAGGTGTCTCTTGCTCCAAGTGCAAATACAGAGATGAATACAAGAGCATGTTATGTAGTGTATGAGCATACACCAGAAACATGGATGAGGTTTTTGTTGATAAATAGAATTGGGCAAGTGCTGAACTGCATCTGAAATACAGACAAGTTTAAATTAACTTTGTGGTGCTGTTTGTCTGTTTTATACAATCTCCATTAAAATTTGCAAAAACTAACATTCTTCACTATGCTGTACACAAGGGAGATTTAGAAAGGTACATCTGTCTAAGTAATAGCCTCTTTTGTCTTCATATACATTAGTTATGCTTTCCACACACAGAATCCTACTGTGCATTGTTTCTGCCTGAATCAGACAGTTTATTTACATCTACAGAGCTGGCTATACTAAATACTCATACTGGCTGAGTATGCCAAGTACCTGAAATTAAAAAAAAAAAAATGAAGCCACATTTGAGGAAGCTGTATTTAATGTTAAAGTACTCTGTGCAAATACAAACAATGACACAGTAAAACACAGGATCTTACAGTTTGTCTTTGAATGCTTTCAGCAGTACATCTGCTGCCAGCCCTGGAGACAGGACACCACTCAGAACCTTTTCTTCTAAAACTGGAATCTTATCTTTGACTGCCAAGTGACTCCGGAAATGGTCCAACATGTTCTCTTGGATTAGATTCCACATCCACACTTTCTGCTGTTTCCTTCGTTTGGTGAGCAACTCACCGCTCATAAGCACGAGGTCACGAAATTCTGTCATCTTATCCCACATGTCTGAGATGCCTTCTCCAGTTTTGGCAGAGATGCGCATTACCTGTTGGATTAATGGGGTCATTTGAAAAGGAATGAAGTAATTACTTGGTGTGAGGGTTCAAGTGTAAAACTTAAGTACTTCATTAGCAAGATGCCATGAAATCACAGGTGCCAAACTCAGTAAGACCAACTCATCCATTTATCTATGCCAGTGGCTGCATGCCAAGTTTCATGCAGCTTACTCTGTATGCCTTTCAGACACTACCTAAAAAAAGAGATTCTGCCAACTCCAAATGCATATTCAATTTTTCTACTGCAAAAAAGAGTGAGGTTTCCAAGTGTTCTTGAACAAACGTATCCTCTCACGACTATTGTATGATGGTCATCAATGTTCCACCCTAGCAATGACAACATTTCAGTGATACAGCATGCACTTTTGCATAACTATTGAGAATTCCTTTGGACCAAAGTATTAGGTAAGTACACAGTATTACTTTAGTAAAGCATTACTTTACTTAAATGGTAAATTAATTGGCTATTCTGGTAACTGCACATTTATTGCTAGCACAATGTTAATATTAAACCCTCTATTATTTAAATATGCCAACAAGAATGTATTTTAACTTCACTTTGCATTGTATGCTTTTATTTTTACATTAAAATTTCACTTCCAAATACCCCCTTTTTAAAGGGTTTAAAAAGAGCAGTTACAAACAAAAGGCCTGGTTTATTTATCACAAATAATTATAGTTCCTGGATCTAAAACTTTGCCAAGTTGTCAGATGCTGGCACTGCCAAGTAGGGG